AAAAAAAAAGAATACAAAATTAAGACAGGACACAACCCATACCACAACACACAAACCAACATAAACACACAACACATAAACACAAAAACTACCCTACCATAAACCACCCTACAACCACAAACACATACAAGCCAAGCACCACAACCACCCAACAGAATGCAAACAAAGAAACACTATCGCCGGCCGCGACCTGCGTCCTGCGTCGGCGGGGAAGTCCCATGGAGGTGGCCGGGAACAGCGTCTGATGCCTGGCTGGAACAAGAAATATTTTGAGCAACGAGCCAACACAAAGCAAGTAACGTTCAGAGAGAGGGGGGGGGGGTGGTGGCGACGCTGGTGACGGCCGTTGAGGTGGTAGCGGTGTCCTCTGCGACCTGGCGCTCCTCCGCAGGTCCTGCAGGAGTGCCCGGGGTGGTCCGCCGAGCCCCGCGCCAGCCCCCGGCAAGCGCAGCCTCCGCCCCGCTCTGCCTCTGCCGCAGAGGATGGTCGGGAGCCCAACGCTTTCGCCCCGGAGATGGTCAGCGCGGAGGAGCAACCTTCGACAGCAGCCCTCGCTCTGTACGCGACAGGGCCTACTCCGAAGGGTACCGGCGGACAGTTGTCACAGGGCGCCCCCAAACCCGCGGCCGAGAGCGCGGCGGGGCGGGGCGCGGAGCAGGGGCGGGGCGCGAAGGGGCGTGTAGCATCCCGACGACGCAGTTGTCCTCGGCGCCCGGCGAGTGTCCTGGCCGAAGAGTCCTGCGGTGCGGGCAAGTCCCACGGTGGTGGCGACGGGAAGGGCGCAGCGGCGGCGGGTCTGAAACAGAAAAGGGCGTAAGATATGGAACCACACAAGGCAGCGTGCTAACAGAACCGGTACAGCGATCAACGAACACTCACCTTCTCTGAACGACGTCCGCAGCGACGGGCTGCAGGAGAAACCCCAACCCTTTCCCCATTTATTTCGTTCGAAAAACATCTTTATTCCAATCTTTTTACAGACAGGTAGAATATAAACAAAGTAGGCTGAATGTTGGAGCAGGCCGTCCATCCTCGACGCGTCTCGTCTGCCAAACAAAAACGGGATTAAAGAGAAACGCCGGACAAAAAGAAAATGCGGAAGGGGGGGGGGGGTGCTAGTCGTACTCACCTTGTAGTTCTACTGCAGTACTTAGACTATGCCTGGAACAAGGGAGGGTTTGAGCAACGAGCCGACAGAACAAACCAAATAACTTTCAAGGGAGAGGCGTTATTGACAAACTCCTATTTCAGCGGGACGTCGTGCCTCGAACGTGCGTCCATTTTAAAAACTTGTCCACCAAATGCGATATTTGCCCGTGAACACGCCAGCCACCACCGCCGACTCCACGTACCAACCGCCGCCCCTGGTGAGCGAGCCGGCTCGCCCACCTGCACTGAAGGTGCGAGGCAGCAGCGGTAGCGCTGGAGGGCGGGTACGAGACGCTCGTCACACTAAGGGCCGGCCCTGAGCGCCTGAAGGGACTGACGAGCGTACCGTCGGGGCACGGCGGCACACAGCCAGCTCACACGGCAGAAAGCAGGACAACCACGAAGCTGGACATCCGTAGAAATACTCGTTTGCCGACAAAGCCCCTCATTACCAAAGCCTGGACCGGGCGCCTCGCAGCGGCGAACCTGGGCATACCAAACAAACAGACGATCAATGCAAGCGTCACAGATGGAAAGAATGCATTACCAGGTCGGATGGTGAAACACCTACCGTGTCCGGCTGTACAACGCGCCCCAACAACGCAGTCTTGTCCTCTGCGCTCGCGATCGCGAATATCCTGGCCGCGGGGTCCTGGGGCGCTCCTCCGGCTATGGTGGGGGAAGTCCCACGGTGGCTGCGACGCTGGCGGTTGCTGGTGGAGCCGCGCGACGTGGTGATCCTGGTCGCCCGCGTAGCCACGCCCGGTACGACGGATCTGCGAAAAGAGACGGGAACGCGTTAGATGCGAAGCAAACTTTAGAAATAAACAAAACCTATGGGGAGGACGTTGACATAGGAATGAATGAAGTTCTAAACGCGACATTGCTCACCTCCTGTGGCCGAAGCGCGCCG